CAGCAGCGCAGCTCGGCTATGGCTGCGTGCTCCTTCCCTGCTCGCCCGTGAGAGCGTAGGCGCCAGCCAGCAAATAGCGCAGCAGCGCTTGCGCAACATGCAGCCAGCACCCAAATGCCGAATGAGGAGGCAGCCCTTTGCTTTATCGAAGTGGCCTGCCTGCGTCCGGTCCCAGGAAGCTTCCAGTAGGCCCCGGTAGCCTGAGGCCCAGCACGTCGAGAACAGGCCTTGGGCCTGAGGTAGTTGCATGTGCCCAACTGCCTTTGGCCTGTGTTWGGCCCAGTACCCGTATCCAGCCCAGGGCCTGCTGCACATACGTTCACACTGGCGGCCCAGGGCCTGGGTTCACTCAACCAACTGGCGCCGCGCAACTGCCTGAATTTCCCTGAGTTGCGTGGTGGCCAGAATAGGGCCCTGAGGGCCTCGTCGAGCCTGCCTTCACTTAGGGCGGCCGACGGTCTGCAAAATGGGGCCTATAGGGCTCATAGAGGCAATGGCCTCGCAATCTCTCGTTCATCCCAAGGCCTTGGGTCCTGGGGCTGGTACTGCAGGGCCTGGATGTCCGTTAAGCTGAGCTGGGTAAATGCTCCCCGTAATTATCTGCATACCAGGCAGACTGTGAGGACCCCGCTTCCTTTTCTGAGTTTTATAATCAATTTGACAATATGAGGTCGTAGGCCATGGGGAACAAAAGAAGAAAAAAAGGCCATGGATGCATTGGGAAAACCTTCAAATTTGTGTGCAATCTGTGGTCCTGAACCTCGCTGCTTCACAAGTACTGATCCTTGGATACATACTTAAAAAAAATCCAGCAATCCAATTAGAATGCTCAGAACTGATCAATCCAGGAAGCCAATTTGAGCTGAAAACAGATGCAAAGTGAGTGGCTTGGCGCATTCTTCTGTCTCATTAATGAAAGACGTAAGATGTGTCGCGTAATCTCTCTGGAGCAGCTCTGCTTGACTTGCAGAGAACTCTTTTGCTCTGTCTGCTGGACTGACAGAGCCTGACTGTTGGCTTTCTACTAAGTTTCTAGACCTTGGGTTGCCAACAATTTTCCTGACACTTGGACTTTGGATTTCTGTGATGTGAGAGGTTCATTTGATACCAGGGGTAGTTGCGATGTCCAGGGGTCTTGGTCAGCCATTTGTCGAGGGCGGAAGACAATCGAGTGGTCAACCGTGGACTGCTGCAGGTCCAAAGAGGGTCGGAGCGGGGGTAGGTCGCGCTGCCCTGTTGCCTAGCAAGTTGGGGGTGTGAGACCAGGTCTAGGTCTGGGAGAATGAGCACGACAGCTAGGTCGGGTTTCGGATAGCCAATAGCATTATTTGAAACGTATGGTTTGGTAGAAGTAAGATTTGAATTAGCTCGTCTGATTCATCTTCTCAACCGAAGCTGGGTAAGGACTTCGGAATCTTCTTATGTAATCTTATCAGGGGCGCTGGGCCCGGTTCCCAGCGCGTGCTGCTCCCCACGATAATAAACCAGATCCTTCTTTTTTTTTTTTTTTTTTTTCCTGACCCTGGGGACTCAGAATGGACTTTGGACAGTGTACCCTTAAGCTACTGAGCTCGCAACTACTAGACGTGGCCCTAGGACCTTCCAGCATGAATTTTGTTCCCCAAACCTTTGTACTTGGCTGAGATGCATGATCCGAAGCTGCCCTCGCATTGTCGGTCTTGTCCATGGGAAAGCATCTTCTCTTGTACACAACATCCAAAATCATATGTGGCAGGACATTGAGGAAACCGACGTCATGAAGTGCCAACAGCATCAGAAGTGATCATGGCAGCGGTGGACAAGTGAACCGGACAGGTACAGACACCAGAAACCGGATTT